CCTTCCCAAAGACAATTATATTTTAATTCTCTCCAGACATTTGTGTAAAATATAGACTGTAAAGTGACCTATAAAAATCACTTAGAATTTGATCGGAAATCATAAAGTATTATATAGGCACTATCTAGAAACCAAATGTAGATCGAATATACAAAAAGATACAAAAAAAACTTCAGGTACATTAAGGTGACTTTTCCTTGCTTATAACTTGAAATATGGTTTTACATCCTACTTTTCTATGTTATGAGGGTAATTCTGCCCTGGCAGCATTGCTACAATTTACTCTTTTATTAAATATTTCAACTGTCAAAGGTTTTTATAGTGTATATGAGACCTTGGTTTGTCATCCCATCCGAGCGACTATACATTGTCCCTTGGCATGTGCTACACCACTGACATGGAGGAACTATGCTGGAAAATCCAGATGAGCTTTCCGGGCCAACACCGGGATCAAAGAAGGACCTCCATGTAAGCGAGCCGACGCCTAATACTCACTCAACCACCGTGACGCCCTCTTGCTTATGACTTGTATATAAATATGTCTCTTATATTGCATTTGTTTGAAGCTTTTCAGTTATTGAAAGTATTTCAGTTTAATGAATACTTAATGTCTTTAGTGCTTGGTTTGGTTTTTATTAAATTTAAATATTTTTTTTATTGTATACCACAATTTTATTAGTATTGGATTTACCCTTTGAAATGTCCGTTTAATATTGATTTGGCATTAACTTAATTTTTCATATCATTTCATGAATAAATAATATTTCAACAAATAAACGTATTGTCATGTCATTTATCAAACATTACAGTTAAAACAGAACAAAAGGAGGGGGCTGCGTGAGAAAGCTTGCTATACTAGATATAAATTAGTTATACACAAGTTTGTGTGAAATAACACAAGTTTCAGAAATTTTAACACAAGTTTCAGAAATTTCAACACAAGTTTCAGAAATTTCAACACAAGTTTTAGAAATTCCAACACGGGTTTCAGAAATTTTTATACAGGTTTCAGAAATTTGTGTAGATTTTCACACAAGTTTCAACACAAGTTTGTGTTGTTTGATAAATTTTAACACAAGTTTTGTGTTGTTTCAACATTTAACACAAGTTTGTTTCCTATTAATGGGGGAGGAGAGGGGGTCCCACCTAGTGCCAGATTAAGGCTCTGTCGACCCCAAGGCACATTTTGATTGCTGGCCTGAAAATACAAATATTTTGGATTCACCGATAAAAGGAAGAAAGTTAAATTTAACAACAGAACATTTATTACAAAAAAAATCAGGCGTTACCACGTACTAGACAAAACAACAACAGAAAAAATAAACAATTCAGAATATGAACTGGTGGCGGAAGCTGGAAGGTCACTCGACGATAGACTAGAATGTTCCAGCGACGAATCCGGGCGTGGGCCCAAACACTTTTCCAGCTCTTTCAAATCGCTTCCCATTTTCCGAGAGGTAGCGCCTGTGGCACTGACCGCTAAAATCGCGTTTAGTTGTTTGGGTTGTCCGACAAGACACGGTCCAGTCGTGTAACCATTTGCATGTACATAAAAAAAAACCTAGTAGTCGGAATTCAATGAGAAATGCGAAAACGTTGATTTTACAAAAGAAAAGAAATAGCCTGAAAATAACCGAGAAATTGTTCTCCTTTGCTTTCCAAATCAAGTGACTGTACCACAGATGGGCCCCTGCAGTGGCAAGCATGTCCTGTTGTGTGTTCGGAAAGACATATCATGCCCCGTTGTGTGTTCGGGACGACATATCATGCCCTGTTGTGTGTTCGGAAAGACATATCATGCCCTGTTGTGTGTTCGGAAAGACATATCATGCCCCGTTGTGTGTTCGGGGCCACATATCATGCCCTGTTGTTTAACACTTTACAGTATCAGATCAACAAAGACCATAGTTTATACAAGCAGCAAGAACGAGATTATTTAACAATGCCGCAAACAGAAAGTTATATATGTGGGGTTTTAGAGATGAGATATTTTACCTGAAGTAAAATACACTATAACAGATAGGCTTCCGAGGTTAACATCATAATAATATATTGATTAAACTAAACCAATTTCAGATGTATCATAAACTAATTCGCTTGGTTTATTTCAACATTAATAAAATATATAATATTACCATAAAGGGTTCCGAGACGCAATGCGAGGTGTAGTCAGTATTAACTATATTCAGGTAATCGACCACCTGTCTGTACTGATGGACAATTAATTACCTGAACTTATAACTAGATGAATAATTAACCGCATGATCAACTATGGAATTCAGGAAATGTTGACATCTACGCGTGAGGGATTAGCCAGTGAAACCACCTTTAACGGCGACTTCTTAGCGTGCAATGGACGGAATTTGGATTTTCGCATTTGGAATTTCGAATTTCGAATCTAGTAATTTGGAATGGGTGTTTCTCCGGCCCAGGTATCTGATAGGTAAACTAGCACTAATTGGTTGTGTAAAATTACAATTTATTTAAATTCTAATTTGTTTAATTTGGAATTTGAAATTTGGAATGAGCCTTCTGGGCTTTCGTACTGACGTTATAGGGTCTAAAGCCGATCGTACGACCCCTACGTGACCTTTTAATACAACCGGTCAGATCTTCATGTAGTGTAGGCCATCCAAAGTATAAAAAAAACGAAACGAAATATAGATCTGTATTTTAATCAGATTGTAAATGGCAGAACACATAAAAATACAGTCAATGTTCCAGAAGCATACCCTGACTAGTGCCTGGCACCCACCATAACTATACAAGTACTAGAAAATAAATATTTTTGAAAGAAGCTGCAAGGTAGCGAATTTTCAAGGATGTCTTTCAAATGCCTAAGGGTGAAATGTAGACATATTTGGGTTAATAAAGATGACATAAGATATATAGCTGTATCATAACAACAATCAGACGTCTGTTATTACGTCATCAATCAATCAGTTAGTATTCAACTAGCATACATAATACCATTATATAACACTTTATAACGTAATATTAAATTTAAACGTCTGACCTGTGGTAATTTTCATATTCATTTTTGATTGTTCATTATTACATTATTGTATATTCAATTCCCAGTGTGAGTGGTTTGACCCTGAACCCGGTTCCATGCACGCGTAAAACTTCATTGGTTGCCAATCTCTTTGGTTATTAAAAGTTAAATTGTCGTTACGGAACTCTTGATCAGTCTGTGCCAATTGTGGGTACCGTAAACTCGCTTATATTGTAACTGAAAATGACACCGGTTATTCTTAAATATGGATTTGAGAGCTGGGCTACATAAAAAAATAGATCTATGAATTAAAAACTACCATAAACCTTCAATAATCTATTGAGATATAAAAATATATTTTAAGTTTCATCAAAATCGAACAAAAATTGTGACCTCTAGAGGATCCACAACCTTCGTATTACACATTTTTACACAATTGCGTAAAAGGAGCAGCCATTTTGTCGGGCAGTTTCGTTTCGATTTTCCCGAAATTCGACCTCAACTTCCAATATAGTGTACCGGTGCTGTGTTTAAAAGATTTTTAAAATCGGATAAAAATTGTGACCTCTTGGGGATCCACAAACTCAAAATGCGATTTTTCGTGCGCCCAGATCCATAATTCTAGAAATTATGGTCCGATATGCGCGAATATCAAAAGGAATCGAGATCTTTAGATTATAAAGATACGTTTCAAGTTTCATCAAAATCGGATAAAAATTGTGATTTCTAGATGGATCACGACTTAGGTATTACATACGTTTAGTCTATTTGCGCACAAGGAGCGGCATTTTGTCCGGCAGTTTCGGTCGGATATTTACGAAATTCGACCCCAACCTTCATTGAGAAGTAACGGTGATAATATTTAAAGGGTTTTTCAAATTGAATACAAATTGTGACTTCTAGAGGGTCCACGAGCTAAAAACGCGAATTTTATAACAATCAGGGGTCATAATCCAGGTATACATTCTGATATGCGCGAATATCGACAGGAACCCAGATCTTTGTGATATAAGCATAAATTTAAATTTTCATCAAAACTGGATCAAAATCGTGATCTCTAAAAGCTCCACAATCTTGATATGCCATACTTTACAGTATCTGTGTAGGAGGAGTCGCCATTTTATCCGTCAATTTCGGTCCGATTTTTCACGAAATTCGAACTCGGTCACCTTTATGGTGTTACGGTGATATATTCGAACGGTTTTTTAAATCGGATAAAAATTGTGACCTGTAGAGGGGCCACAAGCTAAAAACGCGATTTTTTGTACAAAGCGGGGCCATAATCTAGGAAGTTACGACTCGATATTCGCGAATATCAAGAGGAACCAAGATCTTTGGGTTATAAAACATACAGTTCAAGCTTCATCAAAATCGAGTGAAAATTGTGACTTTTAGTGTGTCTTCAAGGTAAGAACGTGATTTTTTGTACAATTTGAAACCATAATCTATGAAGTTACGGTCCTATCTTTGGACGATAGACCTATATTTCAAGTTTCGTCAAAATTGGATAAAAATTGTGACTTGTAGACTATCCACAAACATTATGTTAACGGACGCACGGACCCACGGGCGGACAGGGGCGACGACAATATACGTCTATATGAAAATGTGAGTGTATAAAAGGCGTATATGATGTTATAATGTAATTATCTTGTTTATTAGACTAGAACGGCTATCTACGTGGATAAAGGAAACTGGCTGAGAGCCAAAAAAAAAAAAAACATCCTCCAATGTGAGCTATAAGATCAATCAGAAAGCTAAATTCATCTTGCCAAAGAGAAGCACAGAAAAAACCCACAAAGTAATTAGAAGGAAAACGATAAATGTGACCTGTAAATTAAAGATAGAAATAATTATCTCACATGAATTGTGTTTGTTGAAATGCAATTTTCCCCAAATCCTCCTTATCATTTTTCTAAGAAACTTGAACACGAGAATGTTGATTGTTGTGCAAATCCTATGATTTTAAATGACACGTTTTACACGTAGATATAAAACTACTTACCATGCATTATCACGTCTGTCTTCATATTCTCAGAAATCTGAATAATTTATAAATGAATACATTGAAACAACCACAAAACATTTCAGTCGTAGAAATGCAAAAGTCATTTTTTTAAAAATAAATAATGTGTTGCTATCGGGTGGAAAATTCCCGGTTTGTCAAGCATTTGTTCACCTTTGTAGAGAAAAAACCTCGTGTGTGCAGGGCATCGGGTCAAACCGTGACACCGGAAGAGCTTGTAAGTTTAATCACATTCTGTAAACGTAACATGTATTCATCTGATATGTTCGTTTGTTTGTGATTTCTGTCTCTCTTGTCTGTAGATTTGTTTTGTGTAATTGTGTGTGGTGCAGTCCCCCTCCACTTTTAGAAAAAGAGCAAAATCAGTTGTAATTTCTATCAAAGTTTATAGCTATATTTATTAGATCAGCCGTAATTTATACCAATGTTAATTAAACTGAATGATATAAACAGAACGTTCTAGCGCTTATTATTGTTCAAATAAACCCTGCGAATTGGTTGATGTTACATCCCAAGTTTTAAAAAGTCGTATTTCTATCTGAAAGTTCAGGAAAGTCTCAATGCGAAAAAAAAAACAATTATCGATGATATGCAGAAATTCCAGTCCTGATGGTGTGACAAGTTTTGATGTGGCTTGGATCTTTGATAGATTTGTTTCCACTGGCTCAACTGATATTGTTTTATACTGATCTGAAAATTTATATAAATAATGGAGGACGTGGATTTGACGGTGGTGACAACAAAACATCAACACGTCAATTCGACAGACGTCTGTCTGTCAATAAATTAAATTTAAACAATGAACAGAAGAGAATGGCTTAGTTTTTAACCTGATAGCTTTGACATTAACTATGAAAATAACCATGTCGTTTTAATCTGCGGGATAGGAAATTATTCGTCCCAGAATGTTTTAAAATTTAAGCTGACGTAATAACGCAGGAATGTAAATATAATGTATTGGGTCATGGTGGACATATCTTGGTATACGGGGACGACTAAATCTATTTGTTAAGGCCAGCTCAATTTTTGTCAAGGTCGCTGAGATTTAAATAAGGTTAGGTAGGGCACATGATTGTTAGCGAGATTGTAGGTTAGGGTAAGCATTGGGGCTAGGTCCAGGGCTAGGGTTGAAATTAGCGCTAGAACTGTTTACATCTCGTGACCTATATGACGAAAAATTGAGCTGGCCTTATCATTTAGCATTAACCATAAGGGGACACCTTGTTGGCTCTTTTTGGGTTATCTTCGTACGGGCGTATTAAGTGCTTGTTTATGCAATGGTTATTTCCGTCTAAAACAGTGCTTGTCTTGACATGAATATGCATAATTTGACCTAAGCTGTTATTGTTTACACAGTATGTTGACGCCCAATTAAAGTAACGGTGCGTGACATGCATATTTTTCCGAAAATATTAAATTTCTCACGGTTTAATAGATTATTAAAAAACACAATATCAACGCGGGATAATCTCTCGTCTTGTACTCAATCAGGCTAAAAAAAACAGACCCGTTAATTGGATTTCGGGACAACGTTAAGATGGCGAATGACGTGTTACAATATTAAAATGTCGGAAAGTTCCACTACGAAGAAATGTAGCTCTGTTTTGTCACAGATTCTGTCAAGAAAAAAAGTAAAGTGCGCCAGGATAGATCGATGGAATTTCGCTTCATCATATCTTTGTAAAATGATCCATTTTTGGACATTAAGTGATTTTAATACTGGATAATCGAATAAGTTATGGTAGTTTATCTGAGAGAGAGAGAAAGAGAGAGGGGGGAGGGGTAACGCCCACTCGACACAAACTAGTACTAGCATATGGTTCAATTTTTTTCCAATAATTCGCTTGTGCGTAGGGGTATTTAGCAGTGGGAGGAAACCGGAGGATCCGGAGAAACCCCACGAGGTTGAACAGGCGACCCTACTCCTTGTTATGTACAACCGGGGAATCGAAACCACGTAAGTTTACTTAAAGATACATTATGTAAGATTTAGATAAAGAACTAGCCATTCTTGCTATAAAAGTTCGAAAGTAGATGATGTAAAATGAATAATTTGAAAATTTCATTCAAATTACTCTATTGCAAGCGAAGATATTAGCCTTTGAAGGTTTGACAGACGTGTGCAATAATTTCAACCACCGTACTGGTTGATCGAAGCTAAGTCTCGGTCCTCCATATTTGATTAAATCAAAGTATCGCTGAACCATTCTAATCTATTTAATATCGGAGAAATCTGATGCCATCGAGAGTTGATTAAGGCCTGGATCAGTTAATTAATGTCTAATTTATACTTTAGTAAACATTTCAGGCCTAAAGAAAGACCTGCAATAGGCAGATTTAGCTCCTGTATAATGCATGTTTAATGACAGATCTTATGATACAACGCGCCCATGCTAACATTCGGCCAGATAAGATAACAAGAATAACACGTCAGATTGTACCCTCACGCCCTTTTAATAAAACACAATATTAAATAGACTACATGTATATAGGTCTAGACACAGTTGTTTTATGTCATATAACACAGGGTGAGTGAAAAGGCATCATACTAGTGGTTAATAATATTTGGATGTTTAAAAAACAATTAGTGCAATAAATACGAACAAGTATTTTAAAGCGGTTTTACCAGATATGACAAGAATTTACAGCGGCAGTTTTACATTTTTCATCTTTATTCCGAACGAAATTCTGTTATTGATCAATCAACGAAAGACCTGCGCTTGAACATAGTCCCGATTGTCCAAGCGCTATTTATTTTCAAACGCTGTTGTAAACTGTACATTAATTTTAATTCATTAGACGATAATTTTAGAGAGAGAGGTGATATTTTGAAACCAAAATTATAGCGTTAGGAGGCTTACATGTCTTTTTATCTGTACTGGTTAGGCAACGCCCCTTTAATCTTTTATACTGCGCAATGTATGACCTTATTAAAGCCTGGTTATTATACAGCTTCAGTGGTTGATGGAAAAGTACACTGAAAACAAGTTATCTCATTCACAGTAGTTGTTCGACTGGTAAATTGACAGTTGAACCGTTTATATCTCAGGGACAACTAGGCAGATTTGTCAAAAATTTTCCATGCATTTAGGATGTGAAACCTTCTGACAACCTGCCGAGATATCCAAAGCGCTAGTGCCTCTTTCAACGACCTTCAATTCTATTTGGCTACATTCCGTTCGTTTGTTCCTGGAGTTTTACGTCACTTCCACCAAGGGTGATATCGTAGACAAGACTACGCTCCGTCATGTCAAGTCTTTTTATAACCCCTTCGATGCAAATTGCGACCATTTTCCTTAAATGTTTGTTACTGCGCATGCCTGAAACATTCCTTTCGTTTTAAGACTTACCATATGGACTCGAACTAGCAATTATTTGCCCATTGACTTCAATGTTAAATGGCTGTAACATCACAGGCTGTAGCTTTTTGCTAAACATTCCGTTGGTTCCAATTGTTATAGGCACAATGGGGACCAAATTTGGCAATCTCCTCATCATGATTTTGTAAGGGGTTGACCGTTTAGATTTTTTGCTACGGGGATTTGTTGTTGACTGGGGTGAAAATCTCACTTCCGACACAATGATTGCTCTGCAGAAAGACACTTTACACCGCCATCTCTCCGCTGTAAACCAGTAATACCGAAAACTGCTATGAAATTGCAAATTTGATCCCTTTTCTCCAATTCTAGACCAAAAAGTCAACCAAAAAATGCCGGAAGAGGGGGGGGGGGGAAATAAAGGGAAACATTGTCAATTTATAACTTGCACTACAGGGGAAATAATTAAAAGTCTGAGTCCAGTATCTACCAAAAACTGTAACTGCATGGTTGGTTTTGGTCGCGTCTGTGACATCAAAAATGCAATGTTTATTTAAGTATGAAGTTGAAACCGAGGTGCGAAGAAAGTTTTTAAAAGTTAATTCTAGTATAATTGTGTTATAATATACTATTCAAAAAACGTAGGGGATATTTGATTTTTAAGTGTTATTAAAGTCACCTAATGAAACTGACGAAGAAACAAATGACAAAATGAAATGAAGTTCACATTCATCGATTTATTCCAAATGATCGTTAGACTAAGTAAGGCACAGACTGACCATTATAAGGGTAAAATGATACCCGGGGTCAAACAGCAAAGTTACCACAGCATCACAACCAAGTCAGTAACGGGTAAATCCTCCTCTGTTTGCCAAATAAGCATTGATCCGACGTGGCATACTCCTAATGAGACGTCTAATGTCATTTTGGTCCAGATTGTCCCATTCCTGTTGCAACGCAGCAGCAAGTTCTTGGACATTGGCAGGACGTTGTTGACGTTGACGTAACCTCTGTCCAAGCATGTCCCAGACATGCTCGATGGGGGAGAGGTTGGGACTCAGTGCTGGCCAAGGTAATGTGGTGATGTTCTGTTGTTGGAGGTAACCTGTAACGATCCTGGCCCTGTGACATCTTGCGTTGTCATCCTGGAAGATGAAACGGCGGCCATGACGTCGTGCGAACGGCACAACATGGACTGCCAAGATGTTGTCCCGGTAGTACTGGCCTGTAACACGCCCTGCAACAACATGTAAAGCCGTTCTTCCAGCAACAGTGATGCCTCCCCACACCATAACAGAACCACCCCCCAAATCGATCATGTCTGATGACGTTAACGTCTTGGAAGCGCTCGTTTCGACGACGCCACACCCTCCTACGTCTGTCCAAAAAATCAACAGTGAACCTTGACTCATCTGAAAACATCACATTGCTCCAGCGTCGATTATCCCAGTGTTGACGATCCCTACACCAACGACGTCTTGCCTGAATGTGATGATCTCTCAAACAAGGGATCACGCGAGGACGTCGGGCGCGAAGGTGACCCCTATGCAGTCGATTCCGAATCGTCTGGCCACTCACTCTCACACCAGTGTCTGTTTGAAGACGAGCGCTGATCTGATTTGCTGTGATGACACGATTTCTCAAGGCCAAGGTACGGATAAATCGATCCTGGGCTTGAGTTGTCGCCCTTGGTCGACCTGAGCGTGGTCTGTCCTGTACAGATTGTGTATCACGGTATCTGGACCATAGCCTGCTTA